CCATGAGAATGATACACAAAATCTTATTGTTTTCAAAATTGAATTATTTTTTCTACTCATATGTAAACAATGTGTCAATTAACTTATAGATATATATCTTGAGATAGTTTGTAGTCCACCATTATCAAGGCAAAAATAAGAAAACCCTAAAGAACAACAAGAACAGCAAAATTGAAACAGCTGACCAATTTGATTAAGTTTTTTCATGGGCAGTAGAAGAATAATCAACATCAACATCCCTACCACCGGCTTTTGATAATTAAAATGGTAATTTAGAAAATTAGAAACATAAGTGTATTTCTTTATATGGGGGTTCTCATAGACTCTCCAATTTGACAGGTTGCGCAATTCCATTTAAAGCTTCTGATGCAACCTCGCTTCAATGTAGTTCAAAAGGTCTTTTTAAAAGCTTTTATGTTTACTTTCTCGCGCTGTAGTATAATAATGTACGATTTATTGTTCAAGTAAGTACTTTGAATTTCATTCACTTTCATATCGAACCGCTCATTATTCTTGCACAACGCACATTTAACTGGTATTTGTCTCCTTAGCATTAAGTCATTTCAATAAATCATAATGATTTTAGCCGTATGTTTTAAGTTAGTTTTATGTACTGCTTCTTTTATCTGGCAAACATAATATTCAATATGAGACTTTGAGGAAACAGAAGAATGCTCTGCATTTAGAGCAATCGATCAATTTTCTGCTATCTCTTTTGTGCCTCGTTTGTGTCTTATGATGTGTTATAATATATTTTGACTATTAACGAAATTCTTGGAAATATTGTAATTAGTGTTTAAACGAGAGCCTAGGAATAGACTGTGAACTGATAATTACTGTAATAGTTCATGAATAAAAACGGTGCAAACCAAATCTTGTATTATATTCGCTTCTAAAAAACCTGTTTTACCTTTTCAGACAAAGGTTGTTAACTTTTATGTACACAAAAATGCAACGTCAGTCTCACATTATTGTAGCGACACATTAACAAATGTAATTTACACACCGAATGTAACATTATATTACATGATACGGTTAACATTACTGGAACTTTAAATGAACTCCAAAGGAATGTTTGACTGCAATTAAAATGAAATATATTTTATTCATTATTTTTCTTCTATTACTTTAAAAATAAAATTTAATGTGATATATTTAAGCAAAATCATTATAGATTACACTAAGGAAAAGTGCGTATTTGTTGAGTAATAAGCAAACAATATTACACTGTTGATGTACGTGCGCTACCATGAGAATGATACATACATTCTTTAGCCTTCAACCTTCAAAATTGTATTGTTTTTCCTGTTCACGTGAAAACACAGTGTTATTTACCTTATTCAAAACATATTTAAGCTAGTTTGTAGTCCATTATTATCGAGAAAAAATAGAGATCCATAAATAACACTTACAACAGCAAAATTGAAATTATAACCCAATTTGATCCAGTCTTTTCATGGACAGTAGTAGAACGTCAACACCCTTAGCACCGACTATAAATGAAAATGAAAATGGTTATTATTGAATCTTCAATGCGATAGGTTGCGCAATTCATCCCCAAAACGCTTATTTCTTGTAATATATGTTAATCAACAACAGACAAATCATTTTCAGCTGGCTTAGTTACCTGACTATTGTTAAAAGCGTTTGTAAATGGTTGTTCTTCGTTCTATCACATGAATCTAGACAAAACATCATTTTGGCTTTAGTAAGAGTAGATCTAATTGTTGGTTTCTACGTAAGCGATAAATTGCGACAAGGGCACAACAAGGCGATGTCGTTGGCGTGTATAAGTTATCTTAATGTAAATTATATAAGACGACCATTAATTCTATACAAAAGAAATAAATTTTTCTTGGAAAGTCTTCATTTTCCACAAATAACTCATTTTGTTCTGTCTGATTGAATTGTCTTTTAATATTTGAACCAATTTATGATTCACTTAAACGTTATCACAACAGTTACTTAGTTTCGAGTTGAACAGCTGCGATTATCTTTATGGTATCAACTTATCATTATTGTATTCCATTTTCATTTATGTATCTACAGATACAAACACCATATAAATATATATCACATATTTAAGTATGTAATGTGGATTTGAAATAGCTTTTTCGGAAATAAATACGAGGCTTAATTGAGTAGACTTGACAAAATAATGATTTCTGTGGTGAAACTGCTAACAGGGCATTGGTTATATTTCATAGGGTGTGAAATAAAAAACGGTATCGTTCGTATATGGTATGTGTTAAGGACATGTTATTTAAAATATAATTACATCACAATCAAAGTGTTTGATTGTAAATAAGCATAATTATATAAAAGTGTCAAAGTCATTGTGTAACTAGAACTTATTACGTTTGAATATTTTAGTTTTATATAAAAGACCATGAAATCTGCGTTGTCTTGAAATCAAATATACGTGTATGTGTGTTTTAATAGAACAAAATAAACAAAATAAACCAAAGCCATTTATATTTTAAACCATTTTATTTGCAGTTTACCTAACTTGTTTTTATAAAGAAAATTACTTCATTAGCGCATTGAAGCAAATGTCTTAATAGAATAATTTTGATTAAAAAGATCACTTACTGGGTTGACACATAACAATTCTGATTTAAATGTACTTTCTCAATAAATATAACTCTTACAGTATTTTAGAGAAATGATACTTCAAAGCATGTTTCCTAATACATTTTTTATATTACGATTGCTAGTGTATACTGAACACACTTTGACTTCTTCAACGTGTTACTTTTAAGTTAAGTAAGCAATGAGCTTACTAAAACATTTCCGAAAGAAAAAAAACTGGATGGTTATAGTCTGCTTTTAACAAATTTACAAACATGCTGTATTTGCACATGAAGCCAGAAAAGTGCGAACGTAAAAATATGTTTGGTATTACTATATATCAATATGTATCCCTTTCAACACCATATATTTGCTATTGTGTTTGCTATCAGACTAATTTATAATACCATTGTCTGTCATAAATTATAAAAAAAACTTAGTTTGAGAAGATAATACATAAAATTTAAAATGCTATGAAAAGCTAACTGCAAAACAAATAAGATTATATCAAACTTTATGCCATTTGCTTAATTAGAATATCATTTCCTGATTAAAATTATATTCCCCATAGCTGTTTGTAGCTTTGATAAAGTTATCTCTTTAATGATACAGAACTTACTGAATTGCATTTTGTAGTTAAGCTAAGAGACACAGAGACACGTAATTTTAAATGGTTTTATATCATAAATATGATGCTTAAATAGATATTTACAATTTGTAAGTTTCAAATAGCATTATTTGAAAAGATATTACCGAGTTGAATATTTCATATTGATAAAGGTAGATAATTAGATAAGTTTGTGACAGAAAGATACACTTTACAATTTTAGTCTCAGGTCTAATCCAGTTTTTTAATAACAAAGGAATGCCATAATTTTTACGTTTAATTATAATGTAAATAAACATTTGCTGTAATATTTAACATATTCATTGATGTTTGGAAATTGTTTTAGAAGAATGATTAATAACATATAAAAACTTCATTTAACTGTATGTTAATATGTAGAGCGTTGGACTGTGAATCAGACGACCCGAATTCGATTCCCGCACTGTGCTGGTCGAACATGAAATCTTTTCAACGATCATTTGCGCTGTACCGCTGCTCTGGCATGTTTCTTTACCTCGCGAAAGTGAAGGCAACTAGTAGTGACAGCTTGACCAGGAACGGTTCAGTGACTGAAATGTGCTTTGTTAAATTCAATGTGGCATACGGCGTGATCCGAAGTGAAAACTGCCAATACCACCATATGTAATATCCATATTTACAACAAACATGATCTTTGAGGACCTAGATAACTGTTCTATCTACAAGATCTACTGTGAAACACGATAACATAGCAAGTATTTTTATTAAAACTAACACTTATAAACTAACATTTATATTATATAAATATAATGCTCAAATGAAGATTTAGTTCCAAAAAGCATTATTTGTTAAGATATTGCCGAATTTACATTTCATGTTAATAAAAGAAGGTAAAAAGTAATTTATTTTTCATAAAGTGTAAGTCACATTGTTCAATAAGTACATATTTTACTTATTCTTGGATGTTTAAGAATTCTTTTATAAGCATAATAATATACATATATAAAATTTTTCTTCAGTGTGGTAACAACCTTAATTACAGCATAAAGGATCTTTAAAATGTTGTTATAATGGATTGAGATCATAAAAGGTCTTACGAAATAGCTTCGAAAGTGAAATTATTTGTAATAAAGGTAGCAAAATACAAAATCATTTAATCGAACTTTTTGCTTAAACAAACTATAGAAGCAAAACATGGCTCAGTTATGACCAATCCGTAACTTTTTGGAAATTGTTACAGGATACCAAACATAAAAAACAACATTAAAATAAATTCGTAATTGGGCTGTATTCATATCTCAGTTGTGTTAAATGTAAAGGTGATAATAAGCAAACCCTACATCTAAATGCTCATCAATAGTTCTGACAAAAGACAGCTATAAACACTCGAACTAGATAAATTGTCAAAATCCAATTGAAATATACCAATTATCAATATTAATCTATATTTATCATTTTCATATTTTTTATGTTATAATACATTTGTAATAATGTTATATAAATAATGCATATAAAATGACAAAAATTGACCGCTGTTTTGAGACATTTATCTATATAATTTGATTTGTTGTCTTATGACGTAAATGTTACGAATTTTAAATTCTTAAATTATCAATGATGATTTTTGTTATGCAATATATATGTTCTTTATTTAGATATAAGTCAATCAAATGTTTTTAGAACTCTCTAGATCATGTTGTGTAATATAAACTGGAGGGTGTCCAAGACTAATCAAATTTCGCTTTATTTCGACATACTTAACCAGACTAATTCCGTTTTATATGATGATAACTCTGATAATAGTGTATTTGACATAAATTCAAAAGCAAAAGTTTTCGAGAAAATGGCGTCCAATGAAAAAGAACCAACAAACAAGGATATTATGAAATGTTTAAATGGAATAAGTGACAGATTATGTGCAGTAGAGAAAAAACTTAGTGCTTTTGACCAGATTGAGAAACAAATTTCTAGTTTTGAAAAAGAGCTTAAATCAATATGGGTGGCTATTGATGATAGGGCAAAGAAGGTCGAAGAGCGAGTGACTAAAATGGAGGATAAGATTGACAGCACAGACATAAGTTCAGCCATGTTAGCGGGAAAAGTAGATGAACTTGAAAAGGCTCGTGACAGTATTAAAGAGGAGGTGTCTTATCTCAAATCTCAGTCAATGAGGAACAATCTTATCTTCACCAATGTACCGGAAGACAACTCTAGCGGCAATGAGCCAACGGAAGTGACCGAACGTAAACTACGGAAACACCTCATGGAAGCCTTGAAGGTTGCCAAGGAGACAGCTGACAATATCCGCCTCGAGCGTGTTCACAGATCACCAGGTCAGCCCATACCTGGGAAAACCCGGACTATTGTTGCCAAATTTACATTTTTCAAAGACCGCGAGTTAATTAGAAGACAGTGGAAACATTTGAATGACACACCTTATAAAATGTACGAGCAATTTCCACAGGAAGTGATTGAAAAGCGTAGGAGACTAGTGCCAAGAATGAAGGCCGCCAGAGAGAATGGGAAAAGGTCATGGATTGCATATGATACGCTGTTCATCGACGGTAAGCCTGTCCGGGAGTAGGGATGCGCCGGAGGTGAGCTAGCTATCTTGTCATGGAACGTGCATGGATTAACATCTGACAAAAAGACTCATAAAGACTTTGTAAATATCATTTCAAGTCACGATATATGTTTTTTGTATGAATCTTGGACAAATTCTAGTAGTAATATTTCTTGAAATGGGTATATTTCATTCAATTTTTATAGAAAATTTCAAAAAATAGGGGTGCGCGAAGATGCAGTGGTGGGGTTATTTTGTATTTTAAAGAGCATTTAAAAGAAGGTATACAAGTAATTAAAAATCACCATGATACAATCATTTGGCTTAAACTTGATCGTAATTTTTTCAATACTAAAGAAGATATTTATGTGTGTGGTGTATATATATGGGGTGCAGACTCACCTGCGTACAATACTTTAAATGTTGATTTGTTTGATTTATTAGAAAATGATATATTTTTATACGACAATTTAGGGGCTGTGTACATTCTAGGAGATTTCAATAGTAGAGTAGGAAATAAACATGATTTTATTATACATGATACTTTGAATAATGTTTTTGATGATATAGATTATGACCCCGATAATAGTTCATGCAGGGCCTCAATAGACTGTAAACATAACAGCCATGGTATAAGATTATTAGATCTTTGTAAATCATCATGTTCACGAATAGTTAACGGTCGTATCGGGGACACTAATCATCATACTTTTTATTTCGCATAACGGGGCATCTGTTATAGACTATTTATTATGTAACGAACGCAATTTTTCACTGATCAATAATTTTAGTATATTGTCATTCAATGAATGGAGCGATCATGCCCCCTTACAATTGAAAATATCATGCAACAATACACCTGATAAAGATATTATATTTACAGAAATGAAATACAAATGGAATGATGTATATAAACAACAGTTTTAGATCAGGAGTCATTGCTAATTTACCTCTATTTAATAATATTGTTAATGATTTAGACAATAACAGTCGACAATCTGTCAATAATGCACTTAATAGTTTTACAGATGTATTAAGAAATGTTAGTGACCCATTATTTTCAAAAACATGTCAGTTTAAAAATGTTCATTGTTTTGAAGAAGAAAGTTGTATTAAACACGCTGATTGGTTTGATATAGAATGTAGGAATGCACGTAATAAGTATTTAGAATCTTTAAGGATGTTTAATATCTCAAAGACAGCTTATTTTAGAATAAGGTTGTGTGAAAATAAGTCATTTTATAAAAATATTGTTTAGAAAAAAGAAAAGCTTACATTACAGAAAGAAAATGTCTGAGATAGAAAATTTAAAGAAAGGTAAACCTAGAGATTTTTGGAAATATTTTAAAAAGAAATCGAACAATTTTGGAAAAAATATAACGATAGAACAATTTAAAGAGTATTTTTCTAATATAAGTAACGACTTATTTGCTTGTTGCAATGAGGAGGCTAATCAGTTTTGTAATAATAATGATTTTTATGAAGTCAAATGATATTTTTCCAGAATTAGACCAGCCAATTACAGTTTGTGAAATTTTAACTGCTGTAAAATCACTAAAGCGTAACAAAGCGTATGGTAGCGACTGCTTATTAAACGAGTATTTTATTGAAAGTATAGATATTTTATCAGCTCATATCTGTGATTTATTTAATGGTATTTTAGATTCGGGTTATTTCCCCGATAAATGGACAGAGGGGGTATTATAATCCCTTTACACAAAAAAGGTTGTCACGATGACGTAAATAATTACAGAGGTATTACTCTTGTTAGTTGTATGTCAAAATTGTTTACTACTGTTATTAATAATCGAATTGAGAAATTTTGTAACGAACATAACACTATTTCGGATGCTCAATTCGGATTCCGTAAAGGAAGGTCTACTGTAGATGCTATATTTGTACTTATGTCATTAGTGTTGAAAAATATTTGAATGAAAATAAAAGATTTATATGTTATATTTGTTGATATGATGAAGTGTTTTGATTCTATTGATAGAAATGGTTTATGGTTAAAAATGTATAATTTTGGAATACAGGGTAAATTATTAAGAATTGTTCGTGATATGTACCAGAAAATTAAGTCTTGTGTCAAACTTGTTCAACTTATTCTGAATATTTCCAATATGCTGTTGGTCTCCGTTCAAGGGGAGGTAATGTCACCTCTACTATTTTCAATTTTTGTAGAAGACATTGAATTGTATCTTCAAAAACAATCCCGACTCAGGTTTAATATTAGATGATATTTGTTTTAATTCTTTTACTTTTTGCAGATGATATGGCAATTATAGGCAAAAGCCCTGAGGAAATACAGGAACTTTTAGATCTTTTGTATTTATATTGTAACAACTGTGGCCTTAAGTAAATACAACAAAAACTAAAATAATGGTATTTAGAAAAAGAGGTTGTTATTTTACCAACTGAGCAGTGGACTATAATGGCCAAAATATTGAAGTAGTTAATGATTTTAATTATCTTGGGACAGTTTTTAATTATACGGCAATTTTACATTAAATCAGGGAATATTTTGAGTGGTAAAGCTTTTAAAGGCAATGAATGTTCTTCTTTGTAAATTGAAAAAATTTGACCTTTCTCCCAGAACATTATGTCAGTTATTTGACTCATTTGTTTCATCGATATTAAATTATTCATGTGAAATCTGGGGATATACTAAGTCTAAAGAGCTAGAAAGAATACATTTAAAATTTTTGTAAAAGGTTATATAAGAGTTCAACCTAACACTTGTAATGCTAGTGTATATGGCGAACTGGGAAGATATCCCTTATATATTCATAGGTTTGTAAGGATAATAAAATACTGGTTAAAAATTGTAGAAACTGATAACATAATCCTTAAGACAGTATATAATCAAGCTCTAGATGATAGCAACAATGGTCATAAAAATTGGTTTCGAATGTAAAGAAGCTTTTGAATGATTTATGGATTTCATATGTATTTGATAATGTTAATATTATTGACAAAAAAATATTTTTATTTGAATTTAGAAGTCGTGTTACTTGATTCTTTTAAACAGGAATGGTATGCTACTTTAGATAATAGTTCTGTATTGTATATGTACAAAAATGTTAAATGTAGTTTTGAGTATGAACTTTATTTGGATATCTTGCCAAGATGTTTAAGATTTTATTTCTGTAGATTAAGAATGAGTACTTTGTCTTTGAGAATACAAACTGGCAGATATTCTAGAAATAGAATTGTTAGAGAAGAAAGATATTGTTTGCTGTAATACCTCAGACATTGAAGATGAATTTCATTTTGTTTGTATATGTCGTTGTTATTCAGAGTTAAAAAAAAATATTTGAAAATTAAATATACCAGAAACCCGTCAGTTTATAAATTTTTACAATTAATGAATTCAAATAATAAATATGAATTAATTCAGTTATCAAAAATTTGTTAAGAAAGCACTTGCTTTGAGAAACACACTGTTAAATGTTGAGCGTTAAACATCAATGATAGCTCATTCTCCTTTTCGTATGTCTTTGCTTTTTTAGTTGGTAGTATACATATTTATCATTAATTTCTTGTTACTAGATAAATTAAGATAAAGAATTTGAAAATGTCATGATTGCAATTACCATTATATTGACGTTATGCTTGTAAAAATATTGTATTATAGATGATGTACTATGTACAAATCTTAATAAAGTATCTGTTCTGTTCTGTTCTGTTTATTGTCAAATTAAATGTATAAATTTATTTCATTTGTTACTTTGCAGATTATTTTTTCAAATCAAATACCTCAGATGCTCAAAAATGAGACAAAATCCTTATAGAATATCAATTACAGATGTAAATGACGAATTTATGTAAACTTTGGAATTATATAAACCATTCTAATGAAGACTTTAGCAAAATAACAAAATTATATCATTCCCCCCCCCCCCCAAAAAAAAGTTAAAATGTAAAGAAAGCATCGTGACTGTAAATTTAAGGAGAATCATTTGATACTATGATATTTATTTCAGTTCTGTTACTATGATTATTATAATTTCATTTTATGTTTAGAAACTTTTTCAGGCAACGATTTGTTAAAAAAAAAACATAAAACAATTTAATTTCAGGCTATAAATATAATTCCAAAATGTATAATTATTAACATCTTTAAGTGTAAAAAATGAAAATCTTGACAGTTATTTTCTAGTAAATGTGCGCTTAATTTAAAGGCAATCTTCTTCCGTATTTATAGAAAATATCAACATTGGAACCCATAGTTTCATCTTTTTGTGTATTGCTTAACATTCTGTTAATCAATAAGATAAAACATTATTTTCAATTACAATAGCACTCTTTTATTGATGCTGAACGTGCTGCCACAAAAAGACTACTTCGTTATTTTGTAGGTAAGTGTTCAACTTAATTGAAATGTGTGTGAAAAAATATTTATGTGTTTGAACTGTTTTTCGTTAAAAATTTTTAATGCATTTTTAAAACAAATTTTGTGTTGCACTCTCTTTTGCGAGGAGGGATATTTGATTTTTCCTTGTATTGTTTTAAAAAAACAGAGAATATGAAATTTAAAAACCGGGAAAACTTTGAAATTTAAAAAAAAAAGGTTTTCTATGAAAAATTTATAAATCATGAAAAAAAAAACATACTTAAACCGAAATTGTCTTGAAACATGAAAATTTACTTTAAAATGTTAAAACTCTTATTTCTTGTATTTAAGGTCATTTATACAGTTATCAAAAAGCCCGGGAAATGTATCGGAATGTCTTAAAAAACATCTGTATAAATAGTCTAAATTGCAACATCTACTCAAAGGAATTAAGGTTTAAAAGGTTTTGTCTGAAGATAACATTAAACTAGAACTGTGTCCAATGGACACGGATGCCCCCACTGACAACATATATATGGTATATAGTGAAAAAATCAACAAAGGGCTATAATTCTGTTGAATTTGGTTGCAGGAAAAAATCCTTCCTTTCCGATTCCGCTGAACTGCATTTATCACGAATGAATGGTAACGTAACGAATACGCTTGGGCTACAGATATTGTTTGA